ATATATATATATAATATATATATATATATATATATATATATATATATATATATATATATATATATATATACATGTATATATATATATAATGATTTCACACTTCCTAATTTGAAGTGACTTCAAATGAAAAATTTTGAATTAACGTAATAAAAATCATACCTGATTTGCCAAGGTGCTACATACGCAAGAATAAAATTAATCTTCAGCGAAAACTCCAAAAGTTTTGGCCAAATAAGTGTGGCCAAATAAAAAAGTAACGGGAAGTAATGGTCGATATTGGAATACTTGGCAAGATCTGCTTTTGTCAAAAGGAAAGAGAATGCTAACGGTAAAAACATGAGTTGAGGCTGTGAGAAAGCCGAACGAAGAATGCGCAGAGCGAAAAGAGCAATGAAGTAGGGATGCAATGTCCACTTGTTACTCGTTATTGTGCTTATTACCAATAACGGATACAACTGAAAGTGACGCTATAAAAAAAGAAAAAAAAGTCGAATAAAATTGATTCTACATTAAAAACACTGAGATGCACTTATAAGAGGCTTACTGGTATTTCAGTTTTTTAATTTAAAAGTATTTGTTTCGAAAATAACATAGTGATGTGACAGCGATTATTTGAACCCAATCTTTCAAAACAATAGCATAACCAAGATTATATGCTTAACAAGTAGTAAAAGTTTATGAGAAACAGTGAGAACTCTCATTTTTTGTGAGGAGCGCATTATTACAGATACTGTGAGCAAACAAGTGAACTAACCACATTCCTTTCAATGGCAAGCATATAAAAGTGAATGATTTCAAAACACATCAACTTTGCGGCAAGCGACGATTCAAACTGGGCATATTCATGAGCACGCAAAATCGGTCGTGCGAAGATACGCCACGGTGTGTTCTTTCGTAATTCCATATATAAGTAATGATTGATGAATCCGAAAATTATACACATAATACACGTTACCGTCTAAAATATATGCTAATTTTAAAGTACAACAGAAACTTGAAAACAAATTCTGAACACAATAAACGACCTAAAATTGAAAGTTTGGTGAAACGCAAGAAAAGGGAGAACTGAAAACAGTAGTGAACTTGCAGTAGAATCATAACTAAAGAGTGAAATAAAATTCAGACTTCAATGAAAAAGGCATAACCCACGAGTAGATCAAAATGAGATAAGGACTAAAACCATTAGTTCCGGCAAATACATGTAAGGCCGTTTCGATATGATAACATGCTGCCAGAGGATGCCATTCATTTTTTAAGTGATGGCCTCTAGAGAAGTAACAAATGATGCATACAAAGTCCAGGACGAACCTGCAAAGACGGTTGAGCAACAGTGAAAACCGAAGTGCAGTGAAGCGCAAAAAACAACAGTAAAACCACAAGTGAAATAGCAACGTCGCTTTTGATTCGATTTATGATTACAGCTCGCAGTTCATCCGGTAGCGGATCCTTCAAACACGGAGTCACTTCACCGTCTTTCATTTCACTTTCTGTTTCCTGCGTATTTAATTGAACACATTTCCACAACGAAATCATGTATCGAAAACTTAGTGCCATAAGACCAGGATTGCTTGTACTTCTAAAATTTATTACTTTTGTTTCAATTATTGATACAATTAAAACTTATTGATTCAAGAACTGTCGGCGAATTCGAGAACATGCAATTAGTTGTATATGGCAGCGTTAAAAAGGTCAAATAACGGGTAATAGTTTCAAAATAGTCAATGAACGAAGGAATGGAGATACGCCCACGCAGATGCGCCCCGATTTACAAGTAAACAAGGTAGGATTAATCAATCAGGAAACGACACCCTGGAGTTCAAACAATAATCAAAATGCAACGAAGACCGAAAACTCGTATAACTCCAGTAATATGTTTGACGAGCTAATAAGGATCACAAGAAGCCGACCTGGAAATGGGGACCATACTACCGCCAAAAGCGGAGATTTCGAAGGATTTATAAGAGAAGTTCGAAGGCTGAGGCAGTTTCTAGTCGTCAAACTCAGTTGGGATAGATTTTAATCAAAGGGATCAGCTGAAATTCAATAGCACGAGTGACAGATAGTTCATCAGGAGCAATAGCAATGCTGGAGCGAAGGGAGAACGACAGTTGCAAAAGAGAAGTAAATAGATAACGTAGTGAACATTTAGAGGACTGTTGATATCCTTTAATGTTTACTGCGTTTCCATTATCGTATATAATACACTGCGCATTATATTGTGTAATGTCGTAAAAGGCTACTGTCAACAAAAATGAGACACAAGAAAAATAATAAAATTACAAGGATTTTTTCCCGACAAGAATTAAGCTACAATACACTAAAACATTTATATTTTTTAGGAGTTTCCCAGGTATTTTGCAGCATAATAAATAAATTATTGTACTAATTCCTGGGTAATATATCTGCAAAAACACTGTCATTGGTAAAAAAGTGGAACAAAACAATTTAATAAGGTAACAAAAAAGTAGTCTTTTATACCTTGAAAGGAGGTAAGAAACGGCAACAGCTGCTGCAGTAAATGCTGAAAAAAAGGCATTCTGTGTTCCGTCAGGGTCTGCACGTTTTGCAGTTCTCGAGATGAAGCAGAGGAAGCCGAAAGCCATCAAACTTTTGCTAATTTGAATAAATCCGGACAATAAGGAAAAACTTGCGGTGCCACCAAAAACATTCATTTCCACTTGCTCCAACAAATGCAGTGCTAATGTATTTACCTCAAATAAAGGGAAACAGTGCAGCACATTTTTCAATAAACTGCTATTTAGGATAATTAAGGATAATTAGTCAGCGAGGCACTTAATGTCCCGTGAAACAAATATTTCGCAAAAATATGAAATTGTTACCTGTGGCAATAAACCAAAAGTGAAAGCAATAGGTAGTAGAATTAATAAAATTGACAATAAATTACGACCAGCCAAAAGAAAGGATGTTAATGAAATATTCTGTAAACGATAAAAATTCCATTTCCATTTTAGTGAATGGACTGCATCATGATAATCCCACCAATCACCATTTATCAAAAGAAGTGCTACGGCCATAACCGAAAAGTAAATTGGTCTTGAATATGTCACAAGCCAATTAAAACCATGTATTGGTGATGCCGCATCTGGTTGCACACTTTTTAGTAAAGAAAACTGAAAATTGAATTGGTAATAAAAAGTCTTAACACAGTAAAATTCACAAACAAATATCATGAAAGGATTACAGTTTAAAATATAAATATATAGTGTATTGTTACGATCAAACAAAGAATGAAAGCCTTAAATAAAGAAGTAGCAGAAAAAATAAAGAAACAAAAACAGCAAAAAATAAAGAAGCAGCAAGGAAACTTACATGAGTTCCGGCAACAACGAAAGCGAAAAGAACGAGAGACAAATCGTAATAGATAGAACGCGAGAGGACGACTGCCGTTAGTAATGCAACCACCGATGCGAGACATATGTCAAATAGAGTTGAGAACAATGTACTGTTACGATCAAATAAAGCTGCTACTGAAAGTCGATCCATCTGAAAACAAAAAAAAGGAACCTAGCTACTGTGATTTTCAATATTCCAGCGTTCTTTGTACTGAGTGCCAACTATTTAGCATGAAGGTTTATCTGACTTATTTTATTATTCTCAATTATGGCTTGTCTTAGACTATGAAAAAAGAGTGGAAATTTTGACCTCCAATTTTATTCCTTTCCCAGCAGTAAGAGAAGGAAATAGTTTAATTCGATAATAATGACTCTTTTTCCTAGTACCAATTTGGCCTGAATCCGACGTATTAATTCCAGATATATCGGAAAAAAACGGCATGCGACGAAGAGTCCGCGGTGAGCCAGTACGTAAAGATGTACGACTAGCACCATCCAATACTCTTTGGTGCTCAATTGTTGGTATAAGATGAGTTACTTGTGGCATTCTTTCTGAAAATAATCAGTTCTATGTGAAGCACATTGTAATGAGTAACTTTGTCCTGCTCATTTCACATCATGAAAGCTCACAGTAATTTTTTTTTAGACTGCAATATAAAAACTATAGTTCCGAACAAAACAACAAAAAAGTGTTTCGAAGCAGGGAAAAAGCGAAATAGACATGGATGGCATCGATAAACAAACACCACATAAGGTACCTGCGGCCTGTTCTTCAAGAAAATTATTCCCACGAATAAAGTTCCCATGAGATCGTCGTCTAGTGGCATTTCTGATACGAGCAGCCATCATGGAAAATGATACTATTTGCCTGAAAATTTTAAGGCAGTGTATCAGCACTCTGAAAGACAAATAAGCACATAAATAGATACAATTATTCAAATAATAAAATAAATCCCACGGTCAATAGAGTTCAAACAAATTCAAAGCAGAAACAATAAAATGTCATGCAGTGACTTGGTTATCTCCTTGGTGAGAAATATTGATGGAAACAAATACCTATCACGATTTGGATGTCTCGACATCAGTGCAGAGCTTGAAGCATGGTAAATAGCACTAGGAGTATCTGCAATGTATGTGCTACTTTCCGTTGATGAAGACGACAACGCCCTACGATCGGCAGCAGATACGGATGTACCTTCCAAAAGACGCATGCGTGAACCTTCATTTAAATTTGTCGTTACGACGGGACCGATGTCAGAATCTCCCGTTGAATCAGTATCACTTTCTGGTAAGGCAGCTAGTTTCTAAAAGAAAGATTTGTTGTGTTTTTCGTCTGTTTATTCGGAATAAAAAACAATATGGCTGAGTGGGTTTTAGATTTAAAAAACATTACTACATTAGCTGCAGTGCTGCTGCTCTGAATCATTTCCAGTAAAGCACGACTACTTCCCAACGCATGAGCAGTTCCAACACCATGTTCATCGAAAACATATGTCCACCAATTCCCATCTTCATCCTGAAATAAACTACATGTTAGGTTAAATGCAAGGAGTGTTTTTTCTGCATTTTCTGCATTTCATTAAGCTGCAACTTTTCGAATTCGCTCAGAGTTCTAGATAGCTAACCTGGAATGAATGAACGGCTCCTTGGGAAGTATCCTCGTGATCTAAAGCTATATGGGTGCCATCTTTCATGGCCAAATTCGAAAGTGCCGCTACTGTTGCAGAGCTCCTCTCAGTCATCCTTCAAAAAGCATTGCAGGATTTATTTTGACTTTCATGAATTTTATTTACTTAACAATAATTATTCTAAATGCCAATCCATGCAACATTTAAGGAAACTCCTTTACTCTTACATACAGACGATAAATCTAAATTTAGTTTTAACACTTCGTACTACATTCTTTACAATTATCAACAACGTCGGCGATATGCATATGAATTCAATCAAAATATGTAGTGTAATAAAAAAAATAATAAAAATCGCATGCAAAACAAAGATGACCTCGACTGTGCCATAGTTGGCGGATATGAGCAAAGACAAGAGTTTGCAGAACCCAGACCTCGTCCTAACCTATTCATTCTTACATTTTCAATAGCATCCAACGTTTCCGGATGTTTATCAATCAGCTCTTCCAAAAACTTCGTGATTTCACTTTTCAAATCCATTCCTCTGGAGTTGTTCCCTAAAAACATTTCATTGATAGAGCATTAAAACATCTTTCATGTTACCAAATTCAACAAAATTCTCTGAAAAAAAATTCTAAATTTGAATAGAACAAATTGACGCTACCAATAACTTGGCTACTTGCAAAAATATTGAACAAGTACGCTGTTTACCCGAGGCTTTACTTCTTTTTCTTTTCGTTTCTTTACTTAGCCAAATTTCCCAGCATAACATAATTGTACCATATGATAAGAATGTTCTGCTCTTTTGAGTAAAGACATTAATGTCATTTAATCCATTAACTGCTAATGATTTCTAATTGTACTCTAGGTTCGTTACCAAACTTAGATCAGACCTAAATGAATACACATTGTACTAGAAGTGAACAAAAAATTCTAGGACCTGGAAAGCAAACATTTAAACTCTGTAACGATACGAGTAGTTTTCGAGTTAATGAATCCATAAATCTTCAACTGAAGCATTAATAATCCACTACAAAATTTTCTTGCTAAAAGAAACATCACGTAGTTGTGGAGAATGATGATCAGAGATTTCATAAAAATCAATTATATCCTCAGGGATATTTGAAGTTAAGTATGGTCGCATTAAGAACTTCTGCATCTTCCTTATTCGTACCACTATTGATTCTTAACAAAAATACGAGAAACTAGCCAGGCAATTCAGTTATTTATGCAATGAATTTGACTTCTTATGATCGCACATGCAAACAGTTTCTTTGATTTAAATAAATTAACACTAACCTCCTCTCCACCCCACAAATAATTCCTTTCTTCAAACACTTTTTAAGTGAATTTTGAATTGTTAAGAAGCAATATTAGGATCCTTTTCGAATGTTTCTAATAATTTTATAAATTTACACAACTAGTTCTTATCGCATAAATAATCTGAAATTATTTATAGGAACTATTAAATTCCACAGGGAAATGGAAATATAACTAACTTTACTTCATTCAATTTGGGACAATGACAATTAAATTTACAGTGAATTCTATACCCACACAGCTGAAGTATCCCAACTCCGAATTAATATCTTGAAGATATAGAGCTAATGACTAAAGACAGATGTCAACGAAAAAGTTGCAAAGCAAAGAGAAGTATTGAAATTTAACAGAAAGAAGTACTGAAATTTCAATTACTAAGTACTGAAAGGTTATCACCTCCACTGACGCGCTCTGATGTTCGTTGCAATGTACTTGTTGACGGTCTTTCGAAGTCACCGAGAGAAACAAAAATAGGTCTCCAGCCTTCACCCGAAGATACAACATTTGTTTTCGGTTTAGAGTTTGGCTAAAAAAGAAAACAATTTTTGGATGTATTTGAAAGAAGCGTTTGATAATTTGATTTCAAATTAATTTCAGGAAAATCGAACAGAAGGTACCTCTAGATGCACGACAGTCTCCATAACAAAAGTTTTCTTCCCAGTTTCTCTGCTAGTAGAAGGTGTGTCTAACACAATCTAAAATAAGCATTATTTGAAATAATACATTTGAAGATACTAGGATTAGGCAGTTATTTAAACTGATAGAGCAGAAGAAAGGACGAAGGAATCTTCCGGAACGTAGAAGACAATACCTCCTAACAACCTTCAAAATGGAGAAAAATCACCCTTTCGGGAACTCGCTGTTCGTCACCTTCATCAAACATAGCAGGATTCTTTCTATTTGGATAACATAGGTCACTCGAACCGGTCTTTAACCTACTATCAAAATTGATTCCACCTGTAAATTTGGTTCTTTTGAAAAATACGACACGAACGGAAATTTGATAGATTGATGTCATTTGTTGTATCGAATATTATTAAAATATTTTTGAATACAATTTTTGTATTGCAACATTTAATTGAATGTATGCAAATATAAATGCTGTTAAGTAACGAAGAAATACATTTCCAACATTAAGAAAAAACTAGAAATGGATGGAACCTGAATGAGATGGACAGGTGAGTTTTGTTAGCGTAGTTGATAGGAAAGCTGCTGTGCTGCTCATTTTTGTCGGATAAGATTTACGAGTTGCCTGGAAATTATAGTTGAAATATGCACTATCATGCCATGTAAGAAGAGTACTCAGTTATTCAGAATTTGCTATGGCATCAAAAGACTTATATGACATCACCGCTTTTCGCAAATATGCGTAGGTCGATTGACTGTTAAAAAAAAGAACAATGAACCAAACCCAACAGATTTAGTTAGCAATGAAAGCAATATCACTTGTACTGATTTTCAAACGAAAGCTTATGCCTAAGAAAACAATGCGCAGAGGTAAGCTCAGCACTACCTCGTTCCGTCGTTCTCGCTTTCACCGACAGCTTTGCCTTTCCACTTTCAAGAAAATGATTCGAAGAATAGGTATGATTTTATAGCAAGATTACAAAAACGTTGCAATACTGAAGAAAAGGCTATCATATGATCTTGAAAGAATGAATTTGATGAGTAACAGAAATTGCATGCGAATAAGCTTTACCCGCTTGCATTCTTCTAACGTTCGTTCACTTAACATCGATCCAGTAGCACTTTCTTTATTTGAAGTTTCGAAAGCTGATTTCGCACGACGTACACAGGGACCAGTATCACTTAAACGTCGACGTCGTGTTTGATTGCATCTGTGCGCCTCTTTCAAACACGGTTCAGAAAATTTCCGATCGATTCCAGTACACTGAATTGTGTCATTGTCATCTGAATGATGCCTGAAGTTTGGAAAATTCCGTTTACTCGAAGAAATTTTAAACCAGACCAGAAAAACTCAAAAGTTTTTCAAGACTAAGAGCATAAAAACTTAATTCACCTTATTCCAGTCGGCAATAACTCAAGGCTATCTACAGGAAGAAGTGTTGCTATTGCCGGTGCAATCAATTCCTGTCCGGATTGTCGACCACTACTTCGATCTTCATCCCATTCTTCACCGTCTTCCTGGAGAAAGCATTTAAAAAGCAGAGAAGTGTTTAGAACTAAAGAGAAATAACTAATTCTATCAATTCTCTTCCATTTCCTTTCTTTTTCTTTACATAAAAAAAAAACCTTGCGTATTCGCATTTCCGCATCTACAGATAAAACAGAATTGTCGCCAATTCGCACACACCGTCGACGTCCTAACGAGCCTTGAGATAGATTATAACTTGTATCCTCAACTTCATCACCATCTTTTTTCCGCAAATCTACCATTTCAATTTCCTCATCTCTAAGCTTTTCATTCGAATGTTGCGCTGTCTCACATAAAAAACCTTCAACCTACAAAGTGCTTCAACCTATTTAATTGATTAATCGGAGTTATTTAAACCACTAGAACATTAGGAATATCTGCCGTTTAATTTGCATTTTACTTGAGCAATATTTCAATAACAAAAATTCCAATTACAACAATTAAACTAAGAATACTTTGTAAACGATGAATTAGATTAGAGGAAAAGAAAGCAGAAACCTTCAGTGAACGGACGGGTGGATAAGGAGTTGGATCAACAGTGTCAAACAAGTTGTGCAAATATGAAACCGTAAATTTAAGTATCACAAAGAGAAGAATGATGAAGGTCACATACGCCACTGTAACGTAAACAGACGTTACAGTGTCGAAGATTATTCCTGAAATATAAATGGACATAATTAAAGAACATCTTGGGTGAACTAAACTATATTGATAATAGATACACCATAGATTAAGATTCTATTATGGATAGTTGGTTTTGTTCATTGACTACTGCTAGAAAATCAGAGTGACGATTACTGAATCATCACTGCTCAGAGTTTATAAGTCCATTGTTGTTCTTAACTGTAAAACTTTATAAACTACTTGAACTGATTCAGGTGTTACGACAAAGAAAATTCTTTTTTGGCCTCTTCTCTTGAAGAAATTGGAATTATTGATAAGTTTAGCAATATGTTCTACTATCTAATAAACAAAAATAAAATATGAAATCAATAGGAAGAAAAAGAGCACAAACCAAGTAAGAGAGGGATAAGGAACAGTATGAGCCACAAATACAAATGAACAGCATTGCAGAAGAGCGTATAGCCTGGTTCATAGTACCATCCACCCGTCAGCGATGCCCAAATCCCCTGTCTCACTATCTCCGCCACGTGACTGCCAACCGTCATCGCCTGGTTATCATCATATGGGAAACACTGTTAACAGCATCTACACTGTAGTTAGCGCAGTAAATTAGTTCTGGGGCTATTTGATAGGCCCACGAACCTGTCCTGTCAGGCCCGATTTGCAGAGCTGTCAAATATGGTAGAATAGCTTGTACTGACGTTCTGCCAGGCAATTCAAACTGCTGCTTACTAAAAGCGTCCAGTATCTGTCCAGCACAACCTCAACATTTCAACAACTGCCAGTTACACAAATTACTATCTTTTAAACTGCCGCTCTTTCTCAAAATGAATGCCCTGCGTTTTCACGGGCGGCAAAATAAATGGCAGGTGATGACTGGCGGGAAGGTAGATTTCGAATACGGGTAGGACGAGCCGGAGAACCCTTCAGTATTCACTTTATGGAAGAGGAGAGTTACTGCGTTTTAGTTGTGGAATAGGCTGGTGCAGTGACGACAATTATTTCCAATATTGATTCGACATCCCTCTCTGATTCCATTCACTTGCCTTCATGTTTTTGATCTTATCTTTAGGATGCTTCTTACAGTATTCACTCATCTTCTTACTATTATCATAATTCAAACATTACTAAATTAATTTGAACACATTATCTTGTAAATTCTGTCCTGTAACATCTACTTAAAAGGGAATGAGTGCTTGTCGATTTTGCCATTTCTGTGTGACAGAATACAATTAATAAAATGCACCTATACTTAACGAATTAATTCCATTTTAATATGTCTCAAAAACTTAAAATTGTTCTGCTATTGAGCGGAAATGAAAGATGTGATCGTCAAATATCTGTAGCTTTTCATAAACCTTCACCGAAGACAACATAGAATGACTGTAAGGTTCTCGGATTTCCCCATTTTTATCATTTAGTCTACCAGAATAATTTCTTTTTTTCTATTCTCTGATTCTTGTGATATATTCGGAAACTTCGAGTAGCAATCTTATTGCTTGCTATTTTTACGTTCGGTTAATTGTGGGATCAACAGATGATAGTGTTCTCTTAGATGCCTGTTAAACTGCTTCATCAATCCTTATCATATCCACACCATAGCGAAGCCTTATAGATCCAGTTTCTGGGTTGCGCTAACTAATAAGAAAACAAAAAAGAAGAGTGAATGTTCAAAGGAAGCTGGGAGAAAACAGAAAAGCAAAGAGTAATTCAGGTATCTTTACGAGGTTATGAGGTCACTGCTGGTCTTCCTTTCATTTTCTCTTATCAGTCTGTAGGAGAGCAGATTGTTAATTTGTTGCATGGAAATATTTCATATGTACAAGTCTGCATTTGAATGGTACTCTTTATGCATTTGTAGTGCATTCTTTGCTCATTCATGAACACTTCTATCCTTCTTCTATTCACTTGGAGCACATTTTTAAACGAAACTGAAGAAGTGGTTCCAGCGAATGCTTACAAGTTTTCTTTCATACTTCTATAATTGTTACCAGATATTCGCCATATTTTCGGAAATGTTAACCGTTATGGGTACTCGTTTCACCAGCGTAACAACGCCTAACGATGGTGATGAAACAACAAATCTGACATTTTCCAAGCAAAAATGTCACAGTTTATATGAGTCAAGTGTAGTTGCATCAATTTTCGGTAATATTTTTTTTAGTGCGAAAAGCCATTAATATATCTCTGCCATGGTAAAAATTCTTGAGGATAATCACGAAGAGTGAGATAACCTTCGTGTTGTAACTAGGGCAGGTAAATTTTGGACAGTAATAAGAAAATCAGTTCAATAACAGTATAATCATGAATTCATTTTCTGATTAAGTGATACATACTCAGATGATGATGAGTCATTTACGGAATCTGTACGAAGTGGCAGTTATGAGAGGTTAGAAGACAAAAACGAGGAATGTGGAATGGAGCGGAAAGAGAGAGCTGTGTTAAGCGACATGAATGCTGACGGTGATTTATTGGCGGTTGCAATAGGCGAGGACATTTCAATATTTAGTTTTGATTGTGGTACGAGATTCATCGTTACAGTGCATCTTGGAGGTTAGAAAATCCACTGGACTTTTTCAGTAGAGTGTCCATAAGATGTTAGTAATTCGTAATAAACGATTCAAATTGTATGTGATAGCAGTGGTTAGAAGAAATTAGGTTTTTCATCCACAAATATTCTCTTCATTTCCAACATTTCTTTTTCGACTCAGTCTAAGAAATCTAATGTGACAGATATGAGTTTTTTTATTAATTATTCTTGTTTTGTTGAATCATATACCAACTATCTAAATGAGCAATATTTCAGAAAATATCGATCCAGTCGCTATGAGATTCATGCCCGTAGTAAATTTACTAGCAGTTTTGACGAATTGCGGAAATCTGATATTTCTTAGTATTGGTTCCAACCGTATAATACATCAAGTGGTAGTCATCTTCTTGAATTTTTTTTATGGAATGCATGTCATATGCAAGCGTAAACGGATATCTAAGGTTGCAAAAGCGAAAATATTTTGTCTAGTTGATTTTTTAAAGCATCCTAGCCTTTCATCTTTATTCAGAAGTTAATGGAAAATAAACGAATACAAGGTGCATCTATCAGCTGCTATCTGCAGCTCGAAGATGCGAGGATGTGCATCATCCTAGAAAGCGGTGAAATATATTCATTTTCTTTTCCGAATTACTCCGAATATTTTCATAAAGAGCAGGACATCGAAATCGAAATATCGAATAGACAGAAGGTTTTAATTTTCATGGATGTAGTAAGATATCATTGAAATATCATGATTTTAAACTTACGAACTGTTGCATCTATTTTGACTTGAAGGTTGATACTATGATCTTTGCTCGCTTAAATATTTTTCTTTTTCGCTAAATAATTTTTGATTATAATTTCAGGGCATGGAAAACATGATTTGGAAACAGTTCGAGACACATTACACTGGCAAAGACTGTGTAATCATTGGCCAGCTTAATGCTCTTTTGCTTGTAAAGCTTTCACCTTCCTAAAACTCGGTGTTAATTTCAAAAAGTCAGGAATATTGCATATGACTTTGAAATAAAGAGTTCCGTTTTTTAATATTAGGTGCATTATCTTATCTGTTGCATTTTACCAGTCTTTGCAAAAAAAGACGAGAAGAGAAACTTTACTGCATTTCAAGCTAAATGCGATGAAAAAAACCACTCTTTGTTGAGAATTAATCGACGTCGTTAGTATTGATAGCGCATGTAGTGTATAATGTTTCCACAGTGCATATTGCAGTGCTAATATTAAAAAAACGGAACTAAATATTTAAAAAGAGAAGAAAAAAAACGTGTTAAAGATTATTTTGAAGACTTTACGGTATAAAAAGTTGCAAAAAATTCACACCTAAACTAACTGCATTCAGAATATTTAAATTTTATAGCAGACTTATCATTCTTTTCATTCAGTTGTCATCGGAGCAAAATGCGAGAGTAGCACTGCTTGATTTATCTGCAGAAAAATTGGACAAAGCTCTAGACGAGTTTTATTCATCTGGTGATATCTTAAATTTTTTGTTAAAACGAAGCGGACCCTTTCTTAAAAGAAGGGGAAGCTTTTTTCTATTTTCTTGTTAGAATAATGTATATTGAGTATATATGTTGTTTATACTGTAATAAAGCAGAATTAATTTCTCTTTGCAGTGCATTATCGATATTTTGTCTACAGTTGTTAATTAAAGGGTGATCGATGAATGATAATCTTAAACATTAGATATACCGATTTCTTCATTTCAGATGTTTCGGGCATCGTACGAATTCGGCATCTTACACATCGTGAGAAGCATACATCCCGTCTGATTTTCCAATTTATCATGGCTTTGACCACGGCTGGGCAACTGTTCATTTGGGATGCCGTAACAACTATGCTAATTTCTTCAGTTGTTCTTTTGAAAACTGGTGAAGTAGCTAAAGATTTTATGTTTTTTGACGACATTCCAGATAGGGAAGGCAAAATAAATGAAAACACCAAACTGGTACTTCTTTTCATGGATCACGAAGGAGCATGCCAGGCAAGTTACAGCCTTTTGGATCACAAGATCTGTTTAGATTTTGCGAAAATTGAGTGTTCAATTTGATTTTAGCTTCAAATTCGCAATTTTCGAACATGTGATATAATCTATGCGAAAGTAGTGACCAGTACAACACTGTTACTGAACAAAGTTACTCGCGAAGAAGGATTGGTACTTTTTATACAGCTTTTCGCATATGAATGTAGGTACGTCAATTGTCACAGATATTAAGCTAATATGCATTTAATTGTTTTTTCGCGAACTAATTAGTTTGCCCAAACTAACATCGATTAGTCATTTCAGAATGACGGATGTATTAGGATGTTTGAGATTTTATAAACTATTTTATGCATATCGGTCATAGAGTAAAGCTCTACTGACAGATTCTTCCATTCATTAGGAAAAAATAATTTCTTTCAGCGGGACATAATAGGACATTGCTTTGATTACTAACCACTGCCTTATCGTAAAACAAATCTGCGATCATTTTTTTTTAGATAGAATTGAATGGGGCAGATTTTGTTTCTGTTTACTTTTTTAATTGCTGTGATTTTAGTGAATTGAATGCAGTCAAGGTCCATGCAGTTTATGAATGTCAACCAGAAATGCGTTTAGATCATTTAGTATATCAGCAACGATGGCTTGAAGCTGAGGAATTTGCTCAAACATTCAGCTTGAACATGGAGGTTTGCACATCATATTCCACTTTACTCGTGGTGGTTAAATGAAAATATAAATATATAGTTGCAGGAAATGTGAATAATTTCAGAAAATTTATGTAGCTCGTATTGAACATTTCGTGGATGCAGGGATGATGAGTCAGACTGATTTCGGAACATACCACGAATTAGACAAGTTTTTTGGATGGATGGCGCAAGTTTCAGATCAGAATTGGGTAGACATTTCCAGCATTCTTTAATTCTCACTGAATTTTTGGGCAATTAACACAAATAGTTATATTGAGCCGTCCTACTTCCCAGTACCTGCATTCTTCATCATACTGGATTTTGAAATATTTTGACGATTTGAGTAAGCATGTTAGATACTGTTTATCTATTTAGGTGGCTGAAATGTGTATAGCTACAATAATGTATTGTTCAAGCCACTTATGGGTCAAGAAAACATTAGATTTCGTGAAAAACCTCGAAATTACAGGTAATTTTGTAATACTATGCTTGTCGGGCATTTTATATCTTTGGACTGCATTTAAAAGACTGGAAGTTTTCCCGAATTTTTTCATTTTCATTTTAGATAATGAGACGAAGGCGAAGTTATCTCAGATGCGCTACAACTACCAATCATATCGCGAAGTGCTTGGTCCTTGGGTACATTTCAAATTTGTAATTTTAATGAATGGATGGCAAGATATTTTAGAACGTAAGATTTTAGAACTGAAATTTAATGACAGTTTTTTTATTTTCAGCGAAAACCGTGCTGTAATAAATTTTCGGGAATTGATTTGTGGTCAGAATTCATTGGCGGTTCCTCATGGGAGTATATCTTCGAAATTTTCTGCAAGAATGCACAATTCTGTGAAGCACGATTGATATGGTGTCGCTATCGGAAAACGCTGGAAGAGTGGATTAAAGAGAAAGGAAATTTTGAACGTTTATTGACAGAAATTCATCTCACAGTTCGTGGTAACTCATTATAGAAATTATCGTTTTATGTGAAGTAACTGAACACCTAGTGTTAACGGTTCTCTGAAGTTTCACCATGAGATAATGTAAAAATTATTCCATTATTAAGAGTTTTTTCTTTTTGTGTTAGAAATACAAAATCAAATTTGAATATTGTGATTTTATTTGAATTTGAAATGCCCAAATTTGAATATTGTGATTTTATTTGAATTTGAATGCCCTGATTTCAGGAACGAACTAAATTCCTATGGAACTCCCTTAAATTCAGGTGTGGTTAGCGACGTCATGGAAGCAGTATGTTTTCTAGAAGAAGACATCATCCCTGTCGTAATCCTAAATGACCCTAGAACTTGTTGCTCATATTGCACGACATTTTTAATGGACGTTGCTCGTGCAGTCGAAACAGAAGACCCGGAACACTTTCCTGGAAACTCGCTTAAAATTGCCTCAGCCATGGAAAGAGTTGTACAGAACTTACTCAATTGCTCTATAACTCCATGTCGCCAGGTAAAAGTTAAATTGGTCTGAACACGTGATATAGGAGACATACTGGTTAGTTGAACTGAGCAGGTTGTTGATGAGGGAATTTTTTGAACAATGTTTCAAGTATCTGGACGTCTAATCTGAATTAGCTTCCTTAAATCTCTTTGTTGTTCGTCTGTTTACTTTGGGAACATGCAGAGGACCTATAAAGATTTCTTGATTTTAGGGAAAGATTTCGGATTTTCATTTTTAGGCAGAAGTTGCGTACGCGCTCTCAGTTATCAGGTATTATTCTGAAGATACGGATGATTTGATGAGAGAATTAAATGTTTATGTAAAAAATTTGCGTTCAATGGAAAAGCTAAAAAACGTTTATCAATGTACGATGAGTTACAATACTTTTCAGGTAAACAAATCAATGAACCCTAAGTTAGGTGACTAAACAAATAAATAGAATCAATTGCTAATTTTGACTAGAAAAGATTTCATTCCTTAATTTTTATTGTTTTCACTTCTTCGTTGTAATTCCTTTGCCCTTATTCCCGATTGCTAAAAATAATTGATGCTCTGATGCTTATTTCTCAGCATAATTGAAATATGGAATCGAATCAGCATCTCTAATTCAGTTCATTTTTCACTAGTTTGCGTTTTTTTTTTTGATTTCTAATTCTGACGAATTTTATACGAACTTTCTTCGCCATTTTTAATCTTTACTGTTGCTCTTGAACCTTATAGGAACAAACAGTAGAATCTATTTGTTATATAATATTGGAACGGGTGAAAAGTGTGCAGTTGATAAAAAGTAATATTGATCAATATGGAAGAGCTTATATGAACGAATTTAAATTAGATCCTGACCGTACGCTCTACAATTACATTTTGGTAAGCTTTATTTGTTTAAAGTAACACGAAGGGAAATGCAGGATGATTATTGTGAACTTCGTTAACAAAATAAAGATAGGTCAAAGAATCGATTATAATAGTATTATTTACTAAAAGAAAAGTTGTGCTGAATGAGTAAAGGTTTTGATGTTTCTCCCAAATTTAATAAAATTATTGAAATATTTCTTAAGAACTCCATAAAAACTTCTATTACATTTAATTTGCTTTTTTAACTAGTTGAAAGAAAATAAAACTAAAAACTACGGGTATATATTAGTGCTTTTGTAATTAGTATTTGTGATAAATTTGTTAGAATTTTGGTCGGCTCTAGTTCTAAATCTGTTTCTGCAGAAAATTGCAATTACTTCTGCCGGTGTCGTCTCCAGTTCTAATCCGTGGGATGAACGGTGTTTGGCTATAGCAGAAAGTATTTCAAATTTGGATTTACGATGTGAAGCGCTGATTGATGTTGCAAAACGTGCTCATCCACCATGGACAAAGCAGCTGTCAAATGCCGTGAACATAATGTTAAGAGATCCCAGGCTTGATTTTAAAACGTAAGTTCTGTTGGACAGTCACCTTGGAACGCTTAATGCGACCACTGCAACAGAACATGTGGTGGTGGAAAGGAGGTCCACCTGCTCAGTTCATATCCAGAACTTCACTGATGACTTTTCTAATATTATTTCGCCACACGTGATCGAAGGAAAAAATTTTTAATCTAAAATATATATTACAACATTTTGGATTGTGAAGTAAGACTCTGTATTTTCAATTAAATCACTTCATATGTTTGCTGCTAGCTTTAGATAAATTAATCTCAAGTATACACATTAATAGCAAAGCTTCACGATGATTAAATATATATTTCCGACCGATGCATTTCATTACTAGGCACTCAAAAGTTTAAGGGTATCCCGCTTGCAAGAGCAATGTGATTTTGCCGCACTGGGGGAACGGATGGTACAATATCATTTACCGATGCAAACACTTGAAAGATATTTGCAACAAAAACATTTGTTTAGCAAAGCTGTAGAATTTATTTTTCGGCAGGAATCTGTGGAAGCTCACCCTCAACATAGACTTAACAGTGCTCTGGAGGTGAATTTTCAAGTTTAAATAGTTGCTTCTGAAAGCAATGATCTGTGGATAGGCATAGAGCCTATTTATTTTGTCGCGCGCAGGATTTGTTTTTTCTTTTTTTATTTTTTTTTCTGGTTCTCTGTCGAAAGTAATTCAGTTACTGACATAGCGGTGCAAGGCGATCAGCAGAGTTGTTAAGATCTAGGAACGTCATAGTATTAGTATCGGTATTTCACTGCAAGAAGGATTAACTGGATTTTTAGATAATTAAATTAGCGGGAAAGTTGAAGAAGAACTTAATGGAATGGCATGAATGTGTTTTTCGTTTCTGTCTTTATTTGATCAATGCAAAACTGATGAACGAATTGGTTGGCTTTTCATTTTTGTAACCGGTGGAAATATTGTTTTATTCTCTCGAATTTCTGTCAAAATTATTCTATTAATTTGTTATTGTTTACTGAACGACTGTGCTTCAAAAGGATGGCTTTTTTTTCTAAAACTATATTTTAGACATTATTTTATCCTAAACTATTTGTCTTTTAAGTTGCGTTACCGGTTCATCGTACTCTTTTTGCTGTTTATTTACTTCCCTTTGTTTTAGTTTGTGGGTGTTGTTTCTTATCTCGGTGATCTGAATGAAATGGACCGGAATTGTGTTATCAATCGGCTTATGTCATACGTAGAAGCAATATTAAATTGTCCGGTTTTCCTTCTGACAGAAGTGAATTTTCAAAATTTTATTGGATTTACTCTTTTTTTGATATATTTCACTTCCATGTTTATATGACTTTCAGAGGGAAAAAGAAATTCGATTGCGAACGGTGGAAGCCATTTCATGTATCTTGGAACGGTTTAGGAAGGTGATATTTTGAATTTGAATTTTTTCTACACAGTTAACAATAGTTAACAACTGTTTTTTCTTGACGAAAGAGTTCAGCCAAGGAAAGTTGTGTCAACTAGGGATGGATTTTTGTGACAAATATTCTTGTTCTCCAAGTCAATTCAAATGCGCTTATGGGTAGGTAACGCTGCTTCTACTGCTGAAATACCCGAAGTATATTTTAATAATTATTAGTGCTAAGAAATAACTTTGTAATGTGCGATAAATCAGATCTTTCGATTGATTGACTCTTATCATTCGACGATGTATTCGGTGATTTGTATTCATTATCCAATGTGCGTATCACATCCCTGCTCTTGCGATTACTCTTATAGTTTAGATGTGTTCTCTTCCAAGCCTTTTCGAATCTCGGTAACAAATTTTGTGAAGCTTCAAGGCCAGTAGATATGAAAATTTAATTGTTACAATTATAACTCTACGTGATTGCCATGTTTAATGCACTTACTAAAAGGAATAGTTCAATTAATCCAGTATCACTACCAGTAGATACCACCATTTTAATGACATAATGCAAGAGAGGTTCTTATTATAGTGCTTAGACATTTGTAAAATGTTTATTTAAAGTAGCAAAGATTCGTTTTTTGAAAATCGGAGTTACTGTTTTACGTACAATTTCTGTTCAGCCAATGCAAAAGAGACTCGCGTTGGTGTATAACGATTAATAGAAGTTTTTTGCTCCAAGTTTTCCAAATTAAGCAAAATGCTGATACTTCTTTCTTAAAGATTGTAATGTTTGTGTATGAGTTATTCAAAATTGCTTTCTTGTGGGATGTATCGTTCAACATTTGAGGATGAAATGCTTTTGTCTGAATTGAATGCCACTCGAAAGCTGCAAATTGATCATGATATGATTACGCATTTGCCATTCCTGCGGAGTAACTCTTGGAAATCAGCAAAACTGCGGCATTTTATGGATTGTCACTTTGCTGGTGGTGGTATCCCTGCAAGGATAACCGAGGTAAGATTACTGTGTCTCTTTCTGATTTGCTTTTCATTTTAGAAGGGAAAAAATGAAAGAGTAAAAAATATTTAGGTAATTTATCAGAATATTTTGTTCCGTCGGATTTTCTTTTTGATACTATTCTCCAGTAGTCTACAATTGTTTTTTTTTTTTTTTTTTTTTTGTCAGCTTTTGAAATTATCAAATGCCCTGATGATGGAAGAAAATGCAATATATGAAACAGCGCTTCATTGTGCTTTGGAGAATCGTAACCCCATAGCAGCCTTGGAATATGCGAAGTAATTATAGTTTAGTTCAAAGTTTGATCAGTCTTCCTATTAATGTTGCACAGATTTATATTTGCGTAGATATTGCACAGAGGTTATATCGCACAAACTTTTCTTTGTAATTGCAGATTTGCGATGAAAGATGAGAAAAAACCAAGTGAACAATTATTGACACTTGTAGTGCAAAGCTGTAGCTATGGATTATGGATCATGTCTGAATTAGTTGAGAATAGTGATTTTGAGCTGGTAAGGACGCAGATATTAAGTTCTTGGCTTTTTTGACTCGATCTGAGACACTAAATCTCTTAACTGTTATTTAGCTTGTGTATAAAAATACCGGCGAAATTGGTTGATTGCTTCTATTCTCATAGTAAGTCAACATTGTTTTGTAATATTTGAATTTTTTACTTCATGCTAATCCTTACAGTTCCTCGTTTAGATATTTGTCGTGTTTGGAAATCTGTCCGAATTAATGAGTAGTCTTATCGGAACTACTTGCCAAAACTCCTTTTTAAACACTCATGTTTTCCATGTAAGTTATTGCTTTTATTAGCCCCCCGTTTTGCTAGATGAACAAGAAGAACACTTTTAATCACATACCCTGAATTTTTCAGTGTATCTACTTCTTTCGTGCCGTGCTATCTCACATCCCTATTTAAATTGCTTTTCCAATGGCCACTGAATAGCTGTAGTATGTAGCAAAGCTTTTTTCCAAAATATGTGACCATTTGGTTAGAAATCATAGTTGGAGCTGTTCTCAGACATACATGATTGTCAATTGAGTGTAAAAGGACGTAGCAATTATTAACGGTTTTGGAAAAAAGATTTGCTACATGCTACAGTTATTTAGTACTTTAGTGTTATACTTTCTGACTTGCAGTATATTGGTATTTCATTCGACTTTTACAAGTGGAGTGCAAGCTAACCTACGGTTTTCCAGATTGCACATTTTTTAAATTTGTTCGAAGCAGTTGTTTCGCAGTGCATGTCTGAAAATCTGGTGGGAGAAAGCGAATACGCAAACGAAAAGTAAGCTTTATTAATATTTGCAAAATCTGTTTTATTTTGCTCTCTTGATGTTTTTCTCAACATTTTCAAGAACACTGAATTTCGAAGTATGCAGACGTTTGGTAGTTCAACTTGCATTCAAGTAAAAAATGGGACAAATGAAATAATGGAGTGATCATTATAGGGCATGCTTAATATATGGATTTGGGAGACGAGTTAACGTTTATCATTACAGAATGGATGGCACTCTTTTCAAAAAAAGTGACGCCATACAACAATTATCTGCTGTGGCCCGCTCTGTTGTTTTTGATGTTTTGAAAGACACTGATTTGATTGATATCAAGTAACTTACTCGTTTCCTAAATTTCATTTTAAGTAAATTTTGGTAAATCTTTCATATATATTGCAGTAGGAATGATTTGCTGGAATATTACGAAAAGATGCGCATGGCATGGGAAAGTTTCTTCTCCTATCTCATTCTCAACAATCAGATTCTGATAACAATTTGTGCTCGCCTCTCATTTACATTATTAGGTAAGTTCATTGTTTCCGTGCCCTTTGTCAGGCATTAGCTTCAAAATGATACCAAGAGTTTTTACACTTCTTTTAAAATCAATTGATTTGGATACTTTGAAGTAAATTTAAGTTGTCCAAATTTTTTTAGCATGTTACTTGGTACCGAATCACGTTAGTTTTGCTTATTCTGAGTTGCATGGGATTACTGAATTGTTTATGGAGCGAGTTTTAATACAAAACCATGCCGATCTTGAACTTTGCTCCGCGTTCATTTTTTCTGCTCCAGTTGCCGATATTAAAAAGGTAATTGTTCTGTTTTTTAGTGTTTTCGCATGAAACACATTCGCTAAACCAACTAGGTATATGGTTACAGTTTCTAGGAGGATGGACACTTTTTGAAAAATCAGACCATGTTGATGGGAAAAAAATTCTAATTTTGTTGTTTTCTCTATTTGCTTAATGTTGGCTTCTAAGTAACATTTTGTTGGTCTTCATATGTGTAATTTTTTTCCTTCCTTTTCTTTTTGGTTTTTTTTTCCTTTTCTTCTTTTTTCTTTTTTTTTTTTTTTTTTTGGTGGGAGGGATACGGAAAGAGGAAGAGAGGCGGTAATTAACTTGCGGGGATGAACTTTTAGCTCAATGCCAAGTAAACTACCTGGAGTCAGTAACATTTAGGATGCAGCGGATGTGATGTATCGTACTGGCAATTTTTTGTTTTTTCGCAGGGCGGACTCTCTTTTTGAACATTTCGTATTTTCCAGGTTTTATTAAAAACGCGGTCTTGGTGTATAACACGAAAATCGCCTCACATTATGCTCAATTTAATTCGTCTCGTTCGATTTTACGCCGTCATACTTGATGATCATTCTATCGATAAGCAACTTGGCGTTAGCTAACATTTAATTAAGAAACTTAACCATAAATTAATCACTCTGTACCCATGAATTCTGAAAACGATTGACGAAGGAAAAGAGAATGGCAGTAGTGATTTAAATGCTTTTGAGTATAATATTTTGGATAATTCAGTTTTTTTTCCTCTTCAAATTTTCTTTTTTTTGAGACTGCTTCTTTTACAGCATTATTATGCACTGACCTTGTGGATCAAGAAATTGGGAAGATTGAATGCTGATTTCCCGCAGAATGTATCATTAGATGTAACAGTTCAGGAATTCGTTCGCTGCCTCATTCCACCGGAAATATTAATCGAGTAAGTTATCGTTATATGAGATGTATTAAGACGTATTTTATGAGAGATGAGACGTATTTTATGAGACGTTTATGAGATGTATTAATCGAGTAAGTTATCGTTTTATGAGATGTATTAAGACTTATATTTTCTACCAATGTACATAACCATTTCATGCATGCAAATCACTAAATAACAAGATTTCGAATTTAATTTAATTACCCAAATTCTATCTCATGTTTGCTGTCTACCGATTAAAGAAAGCTTGTATTCTTGTGAAATTTGACAAAAACCTTTTGTTATGAGAAACACTTTAAGAATTCTCGTAACGAAAATCATTGTGAGCAGTTTCATCCAAAATGTTTAAAGTAGTTCAATGCTCAAATCACTTCTATTCCTTGGGGTTCCGATCAGTGCCATAAAACAGTGTCATGCGCATTTTTTAGTCCAACGAACTTGGAACCAAAAAGAAAAATACATGAATAATCCTCAAAAACTTATGAAATGTCTTACAAAAACGCTTTGGTAGCGATGATCTGTTAAAATAGCTCAAGATTTGCTTTAACTGCCATATATTTTCAGATTTTGCAAGGATTTTTCATTGGAAATCACCGAAGCACTGATTTTATATGCAACAAAAATGGCGCTCAAAGCCTCTATAGAAGAAGATCAAATATTAGCGACAGAAATGCGTTTTACTGTGTTCACAGCATTACAGGTCTGTTTTCCGAACTGATTTCCATATTTTGCAATTTTTTGATAAGTTCTCGACCTTTTTCGAAATGTTTTTAAAGTTGCACTATAACATTTGCAGAAAATTGGTGTCACGGAGAATCTCTTCATGCAGCTTTATGCTTGTTTGATGATGCTTTGTCCTTATAATTATGAAGTAAGCAATTTTCATTCCTTGATTTGCTCTTCTATAAACTAATTTTGTTTGTTTTCGTTTATGCTGTCTTTCTAATTTGATGTAGAGTAAGTCTTACTGCGTTGTTTAATACCTAAAAAAGGTTTTTTAAAAGAACGTTATAGCTATGGACTTCAAATACAAAGTGTTTTAAAACATTGTTAATTATTTTGGTAATTCCTAGATGATCGAAGTGATAATCAGTGGAATGGAGAAGTATATCGATGATGATAATGGCGATCAAATTGAAATATTACGGAGAGCTTCCATAACAATCCGATTTCTAGAAATCAATGAGCGTGTGAGTCCTCCAACCAACCACGAGATACGGTGGTACCATGAGCGGCAAAAATTTCTTGTCAAAAAGGTGCAGTTCAGTCGATACGATAGACAGTGCTTTCGTTGATTTAAAGTCTTTTCATATTTGTGAATTTTTAACATGGAATAATTCTGCATGATTTTAAAAATTGTGAAATCAGTTTAATTTTTTCAGCAAAGTTGTAGCCACGATTTAACAGTGAAAATTTCTGGGGAAGAAGATTTGACCACTCTGGAGGAAGATGGTAACGACTTGCTGTACAGAAAAGCAAATCTACTCTTTAGTCAACTTCCCAGCCGAGCTTGCCATCGTCTACCGTTTCATCCGTTCATGTTTGAAAATGAAAAAGATTTGCAGAATATTTTGCTCCCAATGATTCATGCCGAACTTACACTTCACAATGTTGATGTAATTCATTTTTTTTTCCGAAAAATAAATTTAACTGTTGTCGTCGGTTTTCCAAATCGAAATTTATTGAAGTCAAAAATTTCAAATTAACTTATTATATCTATATTTGGCCACTCTTGAATGATTCATCTGGAGTTTTCATTAATGGCGCTTCTCCCCTTGTGATTTGTTATTAAACATTTATTCTTTTGTGATTGGTAAGAAAGTCTTTTTGCTGCTGTCGATCTCTCACTGCTTGCGAACAGAGATATTAAATTATCAAATAGATTTTAAAACTGAGTTTAATTGCGTTTGTGAACTCAAAATATATCAGTGTTGCTGTGCATGAACCACTTTTTGACATCTTTTAGAATTGGCAGATGTTTGTTCGAGCGTTGCCTGAAATTGAAATCTCCAAATCAGATCTCTTATCCAGTGCTGTTTTACTGGCCGTTCAAGCATGCATTACCAAGCATACTGATATGGATGAGAGTGATATTGAACGAATCAGGCAACTGGTTAGAAAAGCCACCAATCGCCTTCGAACATTGAAAGGTTTAACGGATGGCTTCAAACATTTGCCATTAAGTAAGTTTCTTTATTCGCAAATTCTATTACTAGTTCCAAACATAGTTGATTTGCTTCTCATCGTTTTTTCTTCAAGGTAGAACAAAACTGCGCTTTTTATCTCTGGGCATCGATATCATTGAAGAATGGCTTGCAAATTTGAAGCATGAATCAGCCGAGGTATATATCTATATGAGGTTTAATAATTGCGGGAGTCATTCTTCATTTTGACGAGACATATTTGCTATTGTGTTGACTATAAAGTTTTCTTTTTTTTTAATTGTTAGAAAAATCTGTTTCTGCATGATCAACGTAACCAAGAAAAGCACAGAGAATGGACTCTCGGATTTTAGTGTGTTCAGTAAGGTTAGATTTTGTTGCAGAAAAGAATCGAAGATATTGGCTTTTTGAAACACTTTCGTCAGAATTTGGAAGAAGCTTACAGAAGTTACAATACCGAGTTTGTGCTTAAAAAGTATGGACTTCTGCGGCCAGAGACAGTGGATTTGTTATCCACACCACAAAATCTTATCGAGCACATTTACACAAATGAAATTGATTGGAATTGCTGCGAAGAAATTAGTATGTTCATTTCTTCTTTTTTTTTTGACTTATAAGTTTCTACTGAAAATTTCTTTAACTCTTGGCGAAAATTATTTCTAACTGTTTCAAAATCCTATCAACAAACACTCAACTTCTTTCATTTTTTTTTTATTTTTAAGATGACAAGATTCCATGCACAATTGAATTGGCTGATATATTTGCTTTGCATCTAGATACGATTCAGGACAGAGTTATCCAACAGTGGCTTGAATTGAATGCTGAAAAAGCTGTGGTTTTTGATCCTAATGATGTAGGTTGAATGGTCATTTGAACACTCATTTGTAAATGTAGAAAGTATGTAAAATGCGAACTAAAAATTTTCACAGATTTAGCAAAGTAATAATATATTTCAGACAAATTTAAGTGATGCACCATTAATGTCGATAGTGACCAAAGAAAGTAACGAAGTAGTTTACAAATTGCCATATTCCGATCCTACAGTCTCAAGGTTTGAAATTCTGGTTACTGTAACAGTGTTGATGTAGTGTTATTTTGACAATGGGTGGCTTGATTTTCAAGCAAAAAGTTTGATGGAAAATAGGGTTTTCTTTGGTTTATTTCGAGCGCAACAGCACCATAATCAGGTGTGGATGTGGTTGTGTGTTCTCTCCTGTTGTTGTCTCATGTTGTTGCACTCTCCTGTTGTTGTTTGAAGGACCAAGTTCATTTTTTAAGGGAAACGTTAGTGTTAACGAAAGTTGAATTCAACGAGATATAATTTGCTAGGCTTTCAGGATTGTGCGATTATCACGTTTACGAGGCTACAAAAAAGCAGCTTATGCTCTTACAAATATTTGTCGGCAGGTTTGACTCGACTTTAGCTATTTGCATATATTTTAGTTTTTGCATTGGATTTGAGCTATTAAATCAATAAGTTGAGATCCAGCTTAGTGGTTATAAAACTCGATGAATTTTGTTCCACCGTCTATGATGCAATGGCTGGTGTTTACTTTGGTTTAGTCATTTGATATTCATAGAATGCATTTCAGGGTTCATATGGGAACAGAATACGTAGTGTTTGTTGCTTGTTGCGATTACTGCGATCAGAACAGTTTCCAGAAATTATGAAAAGTGATTTAAGCAATGTATGGTAGGCTTTCAGTTATCTTCATTTCAGATATAGAGATTAAAACAAAATTCTATGTTGCAATTGAAGAATTATGTATTAATGATTGACTGCAGTACAAGTTACATCTTTATTAATAAGATATGGTGAAATATATAACATAACTACGACATTTTTAATTAATGAAACATTTTTTATTAAATGTTTGGTTTTGTTGCTTAGCGCCACTTCTCGGACACTAATTATCACTATTCGCCAAAACTTTCGAAATTTGAGTATAGAATTAAAATTATCTGAGAACTTTTAGCGAGGTTGACACTAACTAATCCCATCAGTAGAACTTGAAGCTTATATTTACTATTCTATTTAAATTTGTTTCTTGAGATTCCAGACAATATAAAATAATTCCGAAATTATTTAGTTCAATGTTGGAAATAATGCTGTATTCTCGAATGATTGATGAGTATGAAATTGATCTGAACATTGAAACATTTCATTCAGCGGAGAAAAACGTTCTGCTCAAATCCTTGATAAATAGTAGCAGGCAAACACCGCAAGTAGGTTCAATAATAATTATTTGTAACCAGTGCTTGGAAATGGTGCTTTGAACGGGAATGATTAGAGTAAATGGAATTAGAGAGGCGCTTAACGGAAGGAAATTGGATTTACCATACTACTAACTGCTTAATCAGATAACTTGCCAAACTTTCAATTTTTGCAGCTGACTTTGTTTGTGGCATCTGTGGTGATAGATTATCAACTGCTGGAACCATCCATGACCGATTTGCTTTTAACCAAACTTTATCTCGAAAGAAAGTTCGATATGCTCATCGAACTGTTAAACTATTGCGCCACCAATAATAGTATTCTGTCTCATATAAAAAATATTGAGCAAAAATGGTTTTATGCTGCTCAGTGGTTGTTTTCATCTGCAGGTATATTTAACATGGACGAATTCGAAAAATTATGGGTGTCTCAAGGTTAGTTAATTTAGGACGATTCTTAAAGTTAAAAATTAAAAGATTAAAAAGCTTATTCTTTGGTTTTTCTTTCATTTTATAGATATTCATCGTTTTTCAGTGAAGGGAAGTCATAATAAAAAGCAACAATTTGATAGATCTCTTTTATTCTCTTTAAGGTAAGTCTCCTTTTTAAGGTAAGTTCTTATTACATTGAAAATTCTCTACAATCCTACAACAGAATAATAATAGCCCGAGATAATTTGAGATGTGGGATCTCAATTCCAGTTGCCCGATGGAATATGGCCGTTCAGCTAATGCATTATTACATTCACTGCAGCGCGATAATTTCCCAGTTGCTCATCGCTTATTGGTTTTAGCGTCATCAGCAGTTGCAGTATGTGATATTTTCTGATAAAATTTTTACCCTTTCAGTAGACATTTTAAAAGTCGAAACCTTTGAAAGTTTTGAAGTTCAAGTGCCTAAAAATCGATCCTAATTGTTGGTGTGCAAACCAATATAAAAAAGAACCATAAATCAAAATGCTTGCTAAGAATTAATTTTTGTAGGAAGAAACTGAAGAAAGTTTTGAAAATTGCTTTGAAAGTTTCACGCGTTCGAGTCTCGATTATTCACTGAAATGGAAGCGATGATTTTTTAAGCTGGAGTCGCATTCGTTCTAAATTTTTTCTTATTGCCTGTAATCGCTGTGTTTGATGTATTCCTCTCTGTTTTCTATCTTTCGTTAATAAACAGGTAATAATCAGAATAATTTTGCGGGAGCGACCACACCACTTCTTGCTTTCTTATTTTCGTGCACCAATTCCACTTTATGTTAACTGATTATTCTATTTCTTTATTAATGGAATGGAATGCAGTACGCAGTGGTTAGATAGCAGCTGTTTTAAACAATTGATGTTAACTGAATATATAATATTAAAATTTCCAGGTAATTACGTACGGTTGATAATAGTTGGTATTTGATATTTCCATTCTTTTGTTTTTCTACTTCCAAATTCCAAACCCTATTCCCGCAGTCAGTTAACATAAGTCGGAAACCTTTTCCGACTCCCTTGTATTTTCAAGCATCCGTTTTTCATCGATTCCTGCTTTTTTGAGAATTTCGAGAACTTATCTCGAAATTCTTGAATGAGTGTGCACTCACTGTGCATTCAGTGTGCACTCACGCATGCACTCATGCAAATCGTAACTGGTTTAATTATTTTCTCATATGCATATTAAATTGGCGTTGCAAGGTTTAGCAAATTTTGGAGTCTCTACTCTACATCTCATTTTATAAAAGTTGTAAGATACTCGGATTTTCAAGTGAAAGCACATTTCAGACTGTTTAGAATCTTATACCGCCTTTTTAATAATTTATCCTTTCTTCACTGAAAACTCCGGCCTCCAATTTCCCAAGAGTTTTAGAAAATCGAGGACTGTCTCGTTTGGGCATGTTACCATGAGCTTTTCTTTCGCAGACATTTCACTGGGCATCCCTGTTAAACTTTTCTTATAGAAGTTATTTAAGATCATCAGCGCATCCTCAAATTAGTATTTTTGTGCTCATCACCACCTCCTTAAGGTTTTGAAACAAACCTGTAGGAAATATCGTGGATTTTTGTTGAAGTATTTTGTGGTCAGTCAATAGCTGAAACAGGCAGGGGATTCTCTACACGCTAGTTGTAGAGGAGAAGAATTGAAGTTATTTGGAATATTAGCTGCACCACGTTTGATGTGGATGATGTGCGTGTGTCGTACATTGTGGACAAAGGCAAGAGTTGATTCTTTACTTGCAAAGGGTAAGGTCACAAAAGTGACACGATACTGCTGATAATGATGAAAAAATGAGAACAATCCAAACTGATCGAGCGTAATGAAAAACTGATAATAAAAACTCGGTAACACGGAAAACTTATATGTACGGAAAAAGTACAGCTTATATATACGGAAAAAGTGGGAGTGGTTTTGCTCCAACTATTTCAGCAGAGGTGATTTAAAACAAAGATCTAATACGTGATTGATGATTGCTTGGACAGATTAAAATTTTAGAAAGTAATTTAGGAAGGATATTACAATTATTTCCTAACAACTTGGCTAAAGATTAAGTTTGAAACTTAAATTAAAACACAAAAAAGTTACAATTGGGTAACAGTTGTTTGTAACTTGTGTAATTTTAAGTTACGAAATGCTATCGTTTAACAACTTAAGTAATTTCTTATACTTTGGTCTTTCGCGAAATTGAAATTCGCGACAGGAAGTTCTCATGAGCATAATTCTTTGGTACATAAAACGATTTGCATAAATTTAGGTACCATGCTATTTTGCAAGCTTTTGGACAAAACTAACGACGAAAGTCGTCAATAATTATTAATTACCAAAGTTATGATTCTGGCTGACGCGTCTTAACACTTTTCCACTCTTTCTTTTCTATCAAATTTCAGCACCGGTATCCATCGAAATATTTTGACATTATTTGATGACTTCAAATGGAGAACACACACAGTAAAACTTGTCAATTATCGAAATTAAAATCACATTAAAGTAAGACTTATGCAGCATCTAGACGGGATGACGCGGTCCTGTAAGCAAAATTAAAGCGATAAGGAGGATATAAGCTAACAATGTAAAGATGTCACAAAGAGATTTCGGTACTTTTACACGCTGCAGCACAGACCATTCCCAGACTTCATGATGACTTACCAAACCTTCTCTCTCACCTCTATATATGTATGTAGAAAAGAAATTTATGGAAAAAATAAATAGAAAAAGAAAAATCCGAGTTTTTCACAATCAAACGCGCATCTCATCTTTCCCTACTCTTATTCGCCACCACTTCGATCACCAGCTATATTCCCTTCTTTTTTTATATTTGATATCTCCCGGTCAGCATATCTTGCAGCTCGACGAGGGTCGACTCCTTGTACTTAGTTATTATAAACCTATTAACATGATAACAATCAACTCTTACCGAAAAGTTGGTCATATTGCTTGTTTATTGCGCAACTTATTTCTGCCACTGTTTAGCAATTTGTCGTGTGCGTTATACCTTTTTCCTACTATTATTGTTAACTAGTTATATTGTATGAGTACAATATTACAACCCGAATAAATTTATATCGGCAACAAACGAATCAACAAATTAGTTTTCCCGGCAAAACTTGAAAGAAAAAAATTGAAAGCAGACGAAAGCTCTTTCATTTAGTTATATTTCCCAAGAAAGAACTGATGAGTCTCCAGGATCGTTTCAAAGCAACCCGGAAATATGACCTGAGATGAGACAATCAGTTCTTGTTTGCGGTGCTTTCTCACGAAGCTACTGCTATTAATGAATAAAGTTGGGTGTTTCACAAAGTTTTTTGTAAATGTTAACCGTACTTCCTGCTGCTGTGCTGAAAGCAGGTTAGTTTGATGTTTGTGAAGGACACGAAGCGGATCATTGCTCACTCATTAGTAGCAACTCTGAGGATCGCCGCTGGTAACTTCAACTTTTTAATAGAGTGGGACGAAGCGTATTATCCTATCACACCTCTTTAATCTTCTGAATGATAAAGCGCAAGAGCCTCTCAGCGGGTATCTCATAACGGCTTGCATCTTACAATAATTGTTAAGGTAAATATAACATATTTTGGAAATATTTTTGAACTAGTTTTATATTCCTTGTGTCATTTTAAAGTGATTTACTGCTTGATCTTCTGTCCTCCACCATTTTCAACATATAACTGTCAAAGGGTCTTTTTGCTACACTGCCATCAAACTAGGTCGCATTGTATTTAACTTTCTGCAGGAAAGAATTCCCATTCAAAAATTTGTTCAAAACCCGCTACGGAATGTTGCTTTTATGTGAAATTTGGTATCCTTCTTAAAGTTTTGGAAGCAAAAGAATTTTAAATGGTGCGCTCTGAAGTGTAACATCACAGCTTATCAAATAACAGGATCTTGGAATTAGGTCGTAGTAACGATTGAATTATATCGAGCTGCTGTTTGAAGAGTGATTTCTGGAACAGTAGTTGCAAGTGGATTATGGACAAGCATTTCTCAGTGGCCGATTGGAGAGAGGGCTGTGGTTAACGCTTCTTGTTTTCTGTTGTCGTCAGTTTGTGTTGGCTTGTTAGCGTTAATTCGTCGGATCATTCCTCTCAACTCTGTCTTCTCTTTGTTCCTCGTACTGAGGTGTGAACTTGTGAAGGTTGGTTTGCAGTTTAATAGGAATAACTAAGTCGGGGAGTTGTATCCGTATGGGATATTTGCCCTTCTAGTGGTCACTTTCACAAAAGATGATTTTTGGAATGTATGGGACAACTATACGGGTTAATTATTTCGTCAGCTTTATCTAGTTCTTGTCGTCTCCCTCAAACGGTCAAAGATATAACTAGGATTTTAAAAGAAGGTTATCTCGAATGTTGACTAGAAATGTCCATACATGATGACTGTGACCTGTAGAAATGAAATAATGGATGTCTGCGTGCTACTGGAATAATCATTCGGTAATATTTTCGATGTACAATTTGAAGATGAATAAAGAAGTGGAAGAAATGCAGCGTGATATTGCACTTTCGACAAAGAAAACTGCGCTATCAGTGCAAGGTATGTTTTTGCTTGTTATAATTTGAATTGCTCTTACTGAATGATTCCTGGTCTCATATCTTTATTGGCTTTAACTTTGTCCTACTTGATTTATTGTTCGTTACTACTTTCACTGGTTCTTTTCTTATTTCACTGCCAAAGAACGACTGCGTTGTCTTGCTAACTTCCCAGTTGAAAAAATGTCTTACGGGAGTTGTCGATCTCTCCTACCTTTATGACTTCGTTACATGGCGATGTAATTCTGTCGCATAAAGACGTAATCAATTTAAAGTGTTGGAAACCAGTGCTATTGTGTATTTCTGCTTAAATCTCTCCATTAACTATTAAAGCTGCTGATTTTTAAATAACCAGGCATGACATTTGAAAGTGTCTTTTACTCTCATGCTTCTAGTGCTATACAAATGATTTATAGTTAATTTTTTTCTTTTAATTGACATAAAAGATAAAAAAGCTGTTTTTTATAAGGAATTGTTACCTAACAATTCATTTTAATTTTGAAGAAACATAAAGTAGCTGCATAGTCAAGAGAATATTGCTTTGATTAGCAATAAACAAACTCAATTTAAGTTAGCAGAAGATCCAGTTCTTTTTTTTAATTCGGTGGTTGTTATACCAGAAGCATTCATAAAACATCAATTTTTTCGAAGCATATGCAATTGTCCGCAACATTCCGCAGGCATATCATGCAAGACACTTGCGGTATTTCTTTTCACACCATGTCGAAAATGGACGATTTCACTGTTTCCATTACCGGCATCGACCCGAAGTACATGTAAGTTAAATTTAAGAAGAATACTTGGCATAACTTTTGGTCAGGTTTTATTACATGGTCACTTTGAAATATTGTTTCTGTACTTCAGATTGATAGTGATGCAGACGAACCAACAACTTCCAAAGAACATAAACGTTTTTGCTGCGTTGTTTCATTTAAAAATGAAAAAGAACGAGCTGCATGCATCAAGCAGTACCACTTGAAGTTTTGGATTGATGAGAAGGGACTTCAGATGGCGTTAAAGTGTTTCATTTTCCCTCTAAAAAGTTACGAGGTTATCATTAAAATTATTCTAGTTTGCTTTTTGTTGTTTGTTGATATTGCTTTATTTTTATTCAATTAAATGCACGCCGACGATTCATCTTTAACTGAATTATTGCGAACATTACAGTGCACACCCCTTACAAAGAAAACCTGAAATTCTTTAGGTGGTTCAGAAATTAACCTATCAGTCTTTTTTTCTAACTTTATGTCTCGCTAATTCTTTATGCTCCCTGTCGTTACTATTAATAACTGTTATCGTTTCATTTCCAGGTATCAGATGTGTCAGCAAATTTAGATTTTCGTTCTTTCATTGAACTCAAACCACCAAGTCTTATGCCTCATGGAAACGTTGGTACTCCAACGAAATTTTTCTTCGAACAAGTAAATATTTATTCAAAATATTGTTTCTCGTTATTGATATAAAATTTCTAAGCATGCCTAATGCTGTCTGTTAGACCTTATGATTAATATTAACAGTTTCTACTAATCTAAAAATCTCAATTCGATTCTGTTTAACTTACGATTAATTTTAGATTCGCCTTTGCAAATTACCGCCAACCGTTCTTACAAAATTGGGTATCAAAGCAAAAAAGCGTGTAGGCAAATACAGCGCTGTTTGTTTCAAATACAGTGGAAGTGAAGAAGCTATTATTGTCGGTTGCAAAGGTGCAGTTTATTATTTCAATTATTTTTGCATGCTTAGAAATAATGAAATAGGGATGTGGAAATGGAAGCTTTGAGAAGAACATGTCCACTTACGGTTATTTCAAACACTTCAAAATTTAGACAAGTCGTTAACGTTTTCTGAAAACAGACTAACTTTTTTCTAATCTCTTAGCAAGTTTCATTTTGTCTTTAGAGGAAAAGATTTCTTCGTCTTTGGAGCCAGGAAACACCCCAGAAGAAATACCCGATTGTGAATTTGAGCTGGAAAATGACAATGGAGTAGAGGATGACGATGACCGTTGTGAGGAGTGGGAACGGTAAAGTTTCCGGTTTTATTTCCTGAAGAAATAAGGTCATTTTCCCCCGTAACTCTTACTTGAGGTTATATGGCTGAATTATAATTTATGAGAATTTGTTTTTATTTTAATTGACAACGAAAAACGATTGATTTTTTATTAATCAAAGGACTATATGTTGTGTTTCTGTCGAGTTCTTTTGAGTGATAGTTTATCTGTTGCAGTCATGAAGCTCTTCACGACGATGTTACGGAGCAAGCACGTATCAAACCAAGAAAGTATGAGACAGAGCAGGAAGTATAGCTTTAAAAGCACTTTGCACTATATATGGACTCATATTCTCAATGAGGACTCAAAAGCCTCTTTTCAAATTATGGTAGGATTTGTAGCTAAAAATTCAACTTTTTTGCAGGTGACGTGGGAGAAGGGAGGGCCAGGTCTTGTCTGGTATACGGATGCATTTTTTTGGAATGAATTAGAAGAAGGGAAAGATAGCGATTGGAAATGGGTTGATAATTGGGATGTTGATTATTCTATTTATTATGATCGGAAAGATGGTGATTTTGATGCAAAGCAGTCAGTGGAAATATTGGAGGATCAAAAGCTGAGGTGAAGGGAAAGGTTTTACAGACATTTCTACCTCTGTTTTTTCTTGACAGGAACGTATATAATCAAGAAGTTATTGGACAGAGCAGGAAGTGCTTTCAAAGCATTTTACAGTTGTGCATGGACTCATGTTCTCAGTGAGGACTCACGAGTTCCTTGTTTTATTTTTGTGTTGAAAGATAAACTGTCATTTTGGTCTTTATGCTCTTGTCGGCTGACATGGGTTGAGAAAAGGTTTGCTAAATCTCCTCAGACTTTCCAAACTTTGCTATTTTATAGAGTAATTATATCACAAATTACGTCATAAAAAAGAACTTTTATATTTGAAGGACGCATGGAAAAGTCATGGAGATTTACATGTTAAAGAAATTAATAAAGAAAATTGATAATTCATCTCTACAATTCTCATGGATTTTCCATATACCAGTTGTCCGAACTATTTCTTTTTTCGAAGAATTGAAAATCAATTTTGTGTTAAACTAATGAAAAGTTATTTCGTTTGTCTTCACTTCATTGTTTATAGATCAGGTGAGGTTGTCCATTCAGTTTTCAAGAAGAAGATGAAAAAAAGGCATTACGAAAGCATTGGGAGGCCTTTATCAACTATTGTCTTCGGTCAATTTGAAATTCATACGAAAGGGATCGGTAGTAAAATCATGAAAAGGTCTTATTGATGAGTTTATAAAGTAGTATTTATTGAGTTTTTAAGAGAAATTACTACTTATTGTACGCGTTTGTGTAGTTGTATGCCTTTTATTTCAGTTATGGTTGGTCTCCCGGCTTAGGTCTTGGCCTACACAATTTGGGACGTCTCGAAACTGTTTCAATGGAGATGGAAGAAGTTTGCAGTGTTCAAACTAACAATGAAAGAAGGGGTTTGGGATACCGGGGTGAAAAACTGCGACGAACCGGTTTCTTTAAACCGAAGAGCCACACAATCGCTACAAAGTAATATTATTGTTAAGGGTTTGAAATTTTAGATGAAACTCACTAGTGAATAATAGTGAAATAAGTAATATAACTGATGAAGTGAAATGAATAATACAGGCCGAATCTTACAGGTTTTTAGCATTTCACTATTATTCATTAGTATTATATATGTTATATCAAAAGGCTTTTCATTTAGAACAAAAATATAATCGTTTAAAGAGAAGACTTGTAGTATTTTCTCCGAACTGCTAGCTTTGGTAAATTATTTAAAATGACCTCATCGTATATAATGTTAATGATTTCTTCAAGAAATCTAATGATTTCTTGAATTTGGAGTCCAGAATTCATTTCTGAAACAGTATGAACCAAAAATATTCGTTTTTCTCACATCTACCCACATTTTCGCAGTTGATAAAGGGTTTAAGAGAATCATATTGAAGGTTTCCCAAAGATCAAATCCCCTAACTTGAGAAGTTTAGACGACATATGATTCATTGTTGTGATGTCTAAAAGTATAAGGAAAAATGAAAAACTTTCGCATTAGCTAATATGGGAATTTGATATGAAGCTAAATGTGGAAGATATTGCGCTGGAACCGGTTTTTAGGGCATCATACTCAATAATCACTCTTAATATCTACACATTGCTCCTTACACTTAGTATATTATTGTTTTAATTTCAGGTATGATCAGTGGGACTTCGTGGATAGTAACAACTCAATAAGTAAAATTCTTAGAACAGAAAAATCAAATTTTATGAAATACTGCTAAGTTGAGAGCTGTTGAAACAGTTGTATTTTAATTTTGGTTTGAGTTGGTTTTTGTGAATTGTGATTGTTTATGAATGTAACAAACTGTGGCTGTTTAAGTTATTAAAATCTGTTTTTTCCGTCTTGTAGCCTAAGCTTTTGATTAATTCATATCGTCGTACAAGTATTGTTTCTTTCGGCAGGAAAGTTCCATCGAAAAATTTGGCCTAAAAACTTTAACGGATAAATGTCAGCATTTTGCAAATAAATTTTTATTTGCTATCATTATTATTTATCATGATATGATTTGTATCTGTTAGACTTTCACTACATTTAATTTGTTAATAGCAGTTAATTTGAAGAGATTGTTAAAGACCGCTAATCAAAGATTGCTAGTTTTTTTTTTCTCGGTGGGACGAGAAGCAATTGTTTTAGAGCATGTAATTTATATGTTCTGTTCATGCTGTATCGCCACTTTTGATGACGGAGTCAAATTATTCGCCTATGTGTCAGTTGGTGAATCTGTAGCTTGATGATTTTCGGTTTTTGTTGTCTCTTAACTAAACCAAATCATACACTTTGTAGAAAAATTTACTACATGGTCGGCTGGCGTATGATTTAGGAATTATGCAGTCACGTTTCCGAATTTTTACTGGCCTTATTACTGCCTGTTTGTTCTGTTTCATCATTTCGAGGGTAATGTTGAATCCGCATTTCGCTCGTTATCAGGCGGTTCGAAGTATTGCTTATTCACGTGAGCAACAACAACCAATAAAGGCAAAACAAAAGATGATGCTTATGTGGACAACATTCTTTAGCGAATTACCTGAAAATCGTTTGCATCTTATGAATGAGTGCCCTGATTTAAAGGTAAGCAGCGGTCTGATCCATTATGTGCTGTAAATCGACCATCTAAAATGGGAAATTGTGAGAGCAAGCGTAGTGGTTGTGGGGAGAAACACTGCGGAGAGATCTGAAGGAAATTATTACTGGTGATAAAGATATGTGGGGGTAGCAAATGGGGTAGGGAATGTTTTTCTTGACTGCAAGATGCCGAAAGAGTGCTTGATGAAAGGTCCCGAGCATTTATTCAGGATAAGTGTATAATTACGACGGATCGGTCTTCGGTCGGCAGTGCTGATGCTGTGATTTTTCACTTCATGGTTGAAGATTTTCGCTTGAGCGATTTACCGAAAAACAGATCTTCATCACAGCGTTATGTATTCTTAACGGTAGAAGCACCTCCGACTTATAAACTATGGCAGAGAGAGACACTGCATGCACCTCGTTCGTTTTTTCTTGTTTCCATAACCCATTCAGTAAAATTATCTTTACCTATCTTGAAAGAAGTAACCGCTAATTAGATTATAAAAGATTGAACATTTCGGATTTTTTTTTCAAATTCCAAATTATCCATAGGGAGACAATTCAAAAACTTGGCGCACTTAATAAGTCTACTGCTCGTTGGGAATTTTTACTTGCCACATATTCATTTCAGTGCTTTTTTTTATTGTTTTATTGCGAACATCGTTTTGATGTAATTAGTCGCTAACTTGTGTTCAGGTAACTTTTTCAACTGGACAATGACATATCGGCATGATTCAGATGTCCCATGGGTTTATGGAGGTTACTGGATTAGTCCCGAAATGAATAAAGTACTTGGTATCAAATCTGAAAACTTACCTTACGATGAAAATGCAATATTGGGAAATAAAAGTGGTTCAATATTTTGGTTGGTATCGAACTGTAATACAATTTCGAAACGAGAACTAGCTGTTGAGAAACTTGGAAAGTGAGTTTTCAGTGCGGTTATCGAATATTTGAGAATTTCAGTTCTCCTTTTCGAAAGATCTTTGGTTTTTCATGAAATACAATCAAATTAATGTTGATTCGTATGAGCTCTGCTGTTATTTTGGACTTCATTCTCTGATTACTCATTTCTGAATCTCGTAATCATTCCGATACTACTTTTTAGCCTCCGAAAAGGAGAAATTAGTTGAAATGTAGATGACTAATTCAAAAAACTTTTCATCGACTATTGTCTTAGATACATAATGGTCGATAAATATGGGGCATGTGCAGACAATCCTTATAAACGTGATGCATGTAAGAAAGCTTCTGAATGTGAAAAAGACCTAGGTGCAATGAATTTTTTTTACATTGCAATTGAAAATACTATTTGTAAAAATTATATTACGGAGAAGTACTTTGATCGATACCATCTACCAAGTATTCCAATCGTTATGAGACGGAAAACATATGAAAAGTTAGTTTGCATTCGTCTTTTCACTACTTATTGAAGTCTTACCATGGCAAACATAAATACTCAAGAATACATGAGATATTCTCAATTGAGTTTTTCGTCGAGTTTTTTGAGTAACTAATTTTCAGTATTTATACTGCGTTATGGTACATTTTTGTATTTCTTCAGCTAATCTAAAATGAATTTTAAGCTTAGTTCCACCTCACTCCTTTATACCAATGGATGATTTTGAAAGTGCTCGAGTCATGGCCGATTATTTGATTGCACTGATGTCGAATAAAACAGCTTATTTGGAGTATTTCAAATGGCGTTATGATGGTTGGGTTCGAGCTTATCAAAGCATTGGTTACAGGTTCGCATTTGATTTTACAGAAAGTAGATCATTCCGAAACTTAATGACACCAATCATATTAGCAGTTTTAGAGTGAGTATAATCTGTCTAAGTCTCATTTTTTTCTGTAATTGGTTAGTACTTTCAGATTTCATTTCTGCAAGTTATGTGAGGCATTACTAGAGGAACGACCAGCAAAAACATATGAAAATGTGGAAGAGTGGTTCTATGGGACTTCAGAATGTGAAGGATCCGAATTTGCTGAAGGTTGGAAAGAAGAGTAGTTTATTGTAATGCAGAGATGGATATAAGTCTTTAGAGTATTTATGTTGTTTGGTTTCAATTTTCGTTTCAATTTCTAAATTATACTGCGATTTTTTCGAAATATCTTTGAAATTTTTCCAAACACTAATGTATACTGTTGTACATTTTTTAGTGCTTATCTGTTGTATGCTGTATTGTATTCAAAATAGCTTCCACCAGTTTAATTGTCTACATGTTTTGCTTATGTATACTTATGCATACTCCTTATTTTGCATTTACGGTCTCTTTTTTCTTTTCTTAGTTCATATCCATCCCATCTCGTTTTTGGCTCTATATCTCTTCTTTTTCTGTCAAAAAACCTATTTTTTTTTTGACGCTACGATGTCCTGTGTGCATTGTAGTATAATAGTTGTTTGAGGAACATTTGCTCATGTACCCTATATTGCTCAGATTTTTTGTTTTTTTAATTCCTTACGTTTTCTATATCCCTCGATTTCGGGGGCTTACTGTTCAGATTGACAAGTAATGAATATTTGACCATTCATTATTATTATTAGTCATTCTAATGACATTCATACATGTACACTCTTTTCCATGTGGATATTATTCTCTTCATTGGTTTTATTGTTGAAGTTGCAATTTATTTCTCCGATATTGGGACATGTATGTTTTTTATTCTGTCTTTAAAATTGAAACTTTTGACTTGTGCACTAAATTTTCAATTGCATAACAGGTTCAAATGGTGTCAGACAAATCAGCAATTCATGTGAAAGCATTTGAAGCGAAATAATGAGCCGCAGCAGGGTTGAGTTTTTTAGTTCAGTAATTTCAGGTCATATTACTGCTTTCTAAGTTTAACTGGAATGAATAGATGGTATCAATGCTAAGAATAGAAATTGTTATAAACTAATACGTTGCACTGTTTATGCACTAACCCCGTGACCGAATCTTACATTTATATTCTATGAATTCTTCCTATCAACACGACTAGTAAATGTTAATCTGAAGGTGATAAAAAACTTCCCTCAAGAGCAGATGACGTCTTAAGTATAACGACACGTCCTTAAGTACATGGTATGTATGTTCTATTAATTTGCTTTTTTTGCACTTCTTTTTAAGATCTTAAAACATCTTCGTAATAATCTCGACGTCATTCGTTGTTGTCCAGTTTTTCGCTCTCACTTTTACATGACTCGAACGTGTCCTTCTCAGTGCTCATACTTAGAGAATTAGTAATTTATTCGCAATGTCACAATCAGAAGTTCTAAGTTAAGTGATAAGTGTATTACAAAAGATGGAGCTCAAGAGATTTAACATGCGCTTTCCACTCAGAATTGTCTTTCCTTTTCATTTTTTTTTCTCTCACTTTTTGTGTCTATACCGGAAATTGGAGGAACTGTGGCATACAAGTTGGGCTAGAAAGATCAGGTGATGTAGATTATTTACCTATGATATTGTTCTATCTCGAACTATTCTGACTACTCTTATTCATCGGTTACTATTCTTATAATGTAACGCACATGTTGCTAACGTGTTGAATTTTAAATTCCTTTCATTAAATTGTTCCCAATTACCGGTGAAATTATGTTCTGATTCTCATAGCTTGATAGTTTTTCTCAGTTCTTTATGTCTGCAATTGTTTTGCTTGAGATATTATGTCGTCGAGAAGAGTTATCGCAGTAAATGGAAGTGTCATACGGTTTGAATTTGTGAGTGTTGAGTGAGAAAGTTCGGTCAAAATTCCTTCTCAACTTATAGGATTTTTAAGAGGAACTTATTTTTTAAAACAACTTATTTTTTATTTTTACTTATTTTTTAACATCTTTCGACAACTTATTTTTTAACATCTTCCGTTCACCGGAGATGCCTTTGTCTCTTATCATTTTCTGCTTCCGTTATCATTATCCAGCTTGTGAAGCGAGTCGTAGCTCCTGATTCTCCTGTCGTGTTAATTGATCTTATATCTTTTCCAATGAATCTCCACCACATGGATTTAAATGGAGCAAGCGGCGCTTGTACCAGTATTACAATCGTGATGAAAATAAACAAGCAAATGTTTGCCTCACTTATGACTGGAGTGTTTATTATTGTTCCTTTTCATTCAGGCATTTCAGGTTTACTTCCTACCTTACTTGATATGACTCTGTTTTAATAAGACTTTTCAAGTTCGAATTTATTTTTTCTTTTGTGGTTTATTTTTCTGATTTCGTTTCAGTTATTTGGCCATCGGAAATCTCTGAAGTTGTTTGGCGCATTATATTAATTATATTTTCTTGCATCATTGACTGATAGATTTACATACTGCCCAGATAACAAACATGGAATACTGAGTGGTTTCTCTGATTTTTCTTGGGACACTAGTTGTCTAAATCTTTCATATCTAGCAGCCGGAGTAGTTACAATTTCTACTCAAAATCTCGTTTCCTCTTGGAATTTCCTAAAGATGACGGCTTTTTTTTGCATAAGTTCTAGCCAAATTTTCTTGTACATTGCATAAACGTTGGATCTTTGCATTGCGGAATTATGTATAATGCATGGGAGATGTTACTCAACCATTAACCAAGGTGACAAAAGTATCTTCACATCCCCATTCTTGCTGTCAACGCTGACACTCGAACTGTTCTGAAGTTTTATCCCTTAATCACTTCAAGTTATCCTCAGTAAAATATAAAATGAGGCAGGTGAAGGGTAAAGTTAGCAAGCTCTGAGCTAATAAAATCATCCAGGTGACCGAGAACAAATCTTACTAGCTCTTTCCATAGTCATGGAAAAACCACGCAGCAAATCAACTTAACTTCAGTGCAGAAAAGATTGAAATATGTATTCTGATTCACCCCTGTTGGATTTCGCTGCATTCAGTTTCGACTACTCAGTCATTATCATATATATTACTAATTTTCATGCACGTAAATAAGCAACAAAAATCCGATATTTGATAGAATAGAATCCAAACAAGCTTACTAAAACCGCTTAAAGTCAAGCATGAAGCATGAAATCATCCCTCATAAAAGACTGCCTAAAGATCCTTCAAAATCCTTTATGTTTGTTTATGGACGCAGAGAACTATAAAATCAGCAAAAATAATCCAGTATTCCCTGCTTTCGAAACACGCATTAAATCATTTCACAGTAATTAATTTCTAGCACTCAAGCAACTACTATGTAATTCATGGCCAACTAAAAAGCCGTCATCGTATTAAAGAAAAGATTTAACGTCAAAATAACTGTTTCTTATTTGAACAAAATATCTTTGACGTTATCACTGACGTCATACATTCATGCATATACCACCTATTCAATGACAAACGCTGTTAAACGATCAAAAATTTGACATAATGTTACAAATTCAATTAAAAAAGAAACAAATGACAGAAGAAACAGTAGTGTATAGAAAACTGTTTCTTATATCATTAACATCGACTTCTTCAAAAGATTTTTCATCAGTCAAGCAGAGTGGTTGTATCGTTCAAAGCTCCAATGAGTTCTTATGTGAGTACTGTGAAATACAGTTCAAAAAAAAGTAACCTCAACTGACATGAATACTTAAGCAGCAGAGACTGAATCTTACATAAAAATGCAAAATGCAATGTATAAAACATTTCAGTAAGCTTAATTAAGGCATTTGATGAGATTTTCAATAAAAATTGTCACCATGCGCGTGCAATGAATTCCATTATTTATCACAAAAATGCGTATGTATCACCGATTAAACGATAAACATGAAAGCTAAAAAAGACTACTGTCGGAAAACCAAGAAAATTCGTAATATGTATTGCAAAATCACTTGGCCTTTAGTCAAGTTGCTAAATCTAAACGCCATAATTAATATTTCTTGGTCTTCTGCCAGACAGTTAAATGTAAATATTATAATTTTTATATCTTTCAGTTTTATGCCAAACAGCTGAAACAATGTAAATATCATATCAGATTTCCTAATATTATTACTGAGTTTATACCAATAGCTAAAATAATATAAACGTCCTCATGTTGTTGGAGTTTTTTTTACCTACTATATAAGTCTTATCTCCTTCCCTTTTATGGGTTTTCAAAAATATTACCACGACCGACGACCGACAACCATCCTTCCTATACGCATCCCCACTATCCGTTTAATACTGCAATAATCCTATTATTCTTGTATTGTCATTTTGCTAACATAACAATAAACCTTACCATTTATTAACTTATTTGTGCCGGATTACTACTATCTTACGACCAAAAGGATTCACGTAAGCTTGCCTTTATTTCAATTTAATATTTTTTTAATAAAAAGGAGAATCAATCTTTTACAATTACTTTAATCAAAAGAAGCAAAAAAAAATTTATATCTTCGATTGAGGTTCCAATTTTATTCCCAAACAACAATTTTTCAGCGTGATTTTCAGGAAAATTGAAAATCTTTCTAATCCAAAGAACTGGAAGAATTGAAAGGACATAATTTTACCACTGAATACAAACTACAGCTGTTACTGTCATTGTTTACTGAGATTACATCCAAAAGAATTAGTTTAAATGCAATTTAAGGAAATTTCATCGCTGATGAAAATTATTTAAACTCTGGTGGTGGATTATATATTGTTTTCTCCTTAAAATAGACTTCTTCATGTTCCTTATCACATATTAGTAACAGTGATGCGCCAAATGCAAACAGCGTTGCACCCCAAGCAACGCCGTACGACCAATCGAATTCCCAGTTTCGATAACCGAAATTCTTCATCTCAACGTAAAAACATATGGGAAACACAATTAAAGATACCAGCTCTAAGAATACTGAAATATGACTCAACGTTTGGGAAATTTCAGAAGACGTTATGAAATTTCTAAAATTACCTAATTTAAGAAAGAAGTATCGTTGTCATTCACTACAAAGAGAAACAAAACATTAGTGCTTTGGTATGTCAAAATTCTTCCTTCTTTTTTTTTTTTTTATTTTTGTGCTTGAAATGAAGCTGGTACACCTATAATAGTGTTGGCGGAAGTTTCCTGATAAAGTGATAACCTAACGACACATATGTAATGAC